AGTGCCATGTCGACAACAAAAGAAATGTCCAGAAGAAATATGGAGTGGTCGAAAATCAAATTTAACGCACCTTCGAGTGTTTGGCTGTCCTGCTTTTGCACACATACCGAAAGATAAAAGATCGAAGTTAGATCCGAAGTCAACCGAATGCATAATGGTGGGATATAGTGCCGAAAGCAAGGCATACCGCTTGTTTAGTCCCAAGGATAGCAAGATAATAATCTGTCGTGATGTAACATTTATGGAGAACGGGAAAGTCAACAGAACTGAGCCAAGAAATGAAGACTTTTATTATCCAGAATTATTGCAAAACGAAAGCGCTGATTCAGGGGAGAGAGAATCCTATTATCAAGACAATCTTAATGAATCAACACCTTCCGTAATAGCTAATGATCCAAGTATGCAAAATTCATCTGAAGAAACTCTAACTCCGAATGAAACCCCTGCTGAGGAATCCGATACAGACAGCGTGTATTTAGAAACAGATTGGCCATCAAATAGCGATGAAGTCAGCGCACAAAATCGTGCATGGACTCCTAGCAGAAGCTACAGGCAAGAAAGTGTGGAGGAACCACAAATTCGGAGATCAGAGCGTATTGCAAATCAAAACCAAAATTCGTCATCATTCTGTGCCATTGATTTCGTTTCAAATGATCCAACAAGTTATAAAGAAGCAATGTCGTCGGATAATGCTAATAAATGGAAACGTGCAATGGAAGATGAAATTGAATCATTGAAGCTGAATAATACATGGATTTTGACTAAACTACCACCAGGTGAAAAGGCTATAAAATCGAAGTGGGTTTTCAAGACAAAGAGTGATGAAAACGAAAGCCACATTAGATGGAAAGCAAGACTGGTCGCTAAAGGTTTTAGTCAACGAGAGGGTATTGACTATAATGAAACATTTTCGCCAGTAATCAGGTATGACTCTATAAGATATTTAGTTGCATTGGCCGCAAAAGATGGTATGGAAATTCATCAAATGGATGCCGTAAGCGCGTATCTTAACGGAAATCTCAAAGAGGTAATTTATATGGAGCAACCTGAAGGATTTTCCGATGGCACGAAAAAAGTTTGTAAACTGGAAAAGTTAATATACGGTCTCAAGCAATCTGGAAGAGTCTGGAATGAGACGATAAATTCAGAACTTATTAAAATGGGACTTGCACGCAGTGAAGTCGATCAGTGTATATACCACGACTTGAACAATGGGTATAAATTGTATGTCGCAATTTACGTTGATGACGTCCTCATATTCTGCAACAATAGCAAGATTTTGAGAAATATGAAAAAGAAGCTTTCCAAAATATTTAAAATGAAAGATATGGGAGAGGTGTCTACAATACTTGGAATAAAAATAAGTCGAAATCAGGACACTATAAAAATAGATCAAACAAAATATATCAATGATGTCTTATACCGTTTTGGAATGAGCGATTGCAATCCAGTTTCTACTCCGATGGATACTAACCAGAAGTTATCAATGTCAATGAGCCCAAATAACGAAGAGGAAAGACAGGAAATGTCGAAGGTTCCCTATATGCAAGCTATTGGGTGCTTATTATTTGCAGCACAAGTATCACGTCCTGATATTTCATATGCCGTAAATATGCTAAGTAGATATAGCACTAATCCAGGGAGAGCTCATTGGGAAGCGGCGAAGCGTGTCATGCGATATTTAAAAGGAACAATTGAGAAAGGCCTAGTATACAAACCAAATTTGGATAATACAATTACTGGTTACTGTGATGCCGACTGGGCTGGTAACATTGATGACCGGCAATCAACAACTGGATATATATTTGTATATCAATCCGCAGCAATATCATGGTCAACTAAAAAGCAAAAGACAGTAGCGCTATCATCAACTGAAGCAGAATTCATGTCAATTACAGCGGCTATACAAGAATCAGTCTGGCTAAAACGATTAGAAAACGAAATAAATCCTGACGCCAAGAAGACCATGAAAATATTTTGTGATAACAAAGGAGCATTACATGTGGCAATGAACAATAATTATTCTAATAGAACTAAACACGTCGACATAAAGGCAAAATTTATAAGGCAAAAAATCGATGAAAAAGAAGTAGCATTAGAGTACATTTCTACTAACGAAATGTTGGCAGATGTTTTTACAAAAGCTTTACCATGTCAAAAATTAAAATATTTTAGAAATAGGTTTGGTCTTTTGTAAAACAAAATAACATTTTCTTTAATTTAATGAAAGGAGTTTACATTCAGGGAGAGTGTTGTAATTTGAATGTAAAACTACCTTTAACACTACTACTTGTAATTGTTATATTATATCTTGTATGCATTGAATTTGTATTCATACGAATTGTAAATTAGAATACACATTTTTTCAGTTTTCAATAAAACTTTAAACACAATAAAATTCATCTGAAGAAACTCTAACTCCGAATGAAACCCCTGCTGAGGAATCCGATACAGACAGCGTGTATTTAGAAACAGATTGGCCATCAAATAGCGATGAAGTCAGCGCACAAAATCGTGCATGGACTCCTAGCAGAAGCTACAGGCAAGAAAGTGTGGAGGAACCACAAATTCGGAGATCAGAGCGTATTGCAAATCAAAACCAAAATTCGTCATCATTCTGTGCCATTGATTTCGTTTCAAATGATCCAACAAGTTATAAAGAAGCAATGTCGTCGGATAATGCTAATAAATGGAAACGTGCAATGGAAGATGAAATTGAATCTTGAAGCTGAATAATACATGGATTTTGACTAAACTACCACCAGGTGAAAAGGCTATAAAATCGAAGTGGGTTTTCAAGACAAAGAGTGATGAAAACGAAAGCCACATTAGATGGAAAGCAAGACTGGTCGCTAAAGGTTTTAGTCAACGAGAGGGTATTGACTATAATGAAACATTTTCGCCAGTAATCAGGTATGACTCTATAAGATATTTAGTTGCATTGGCCGCAAAAGATGGTATGGAAATTCATCAAATGGATGCCGTAAGCGCGTATCTTAACGGAAATCTCAAAGAGGTGATTTATATGGAGCAACCTGAAGGATTTTCTGATGGCACGAAAAAAGTTTGTAAACTGGAAAAGTCAATATACGGTCTCAAGCAATCTGGAAGAGTCTGGAATCAGACGATAAATTCAGAACTTATTAAAATGGGACTTGCACGCAGTGAAGTCGATCAGTGTATATACCACGACTTGAACAATGGGTATAAATTGTATGTCGCAATTTACGTTGATGACGTCCTCATATTCTGCAACAATAGCAAGATTTTGAGAAATATGAAGAAGAAGCTTTCCAAAATATTTAAAATGAAAGATATGGGAGAGGTGTCTACAATACTTGGAATAAAAATAAGTCGAAATCAGGACACTATAAAAATAGATCAAACAAAATATATCAATGATGTCTTATACCGTTTTGGAATGAGTGATTGCAATCCAGTTTCTACTCCGATGGATACTAACCAGAAGTTATCAATGTCAATGAGCCCAAATAACGAAGAGGAAAGACAGGAAATGTCGAAGGTTCCCTATATGCAAGCTATTGGGTGTTTATTATTTGCAGCACAAGTATCACGTCCTGATATTTCATATGCCGTAAATATGCTAAGTAGATATAGCACTAATCCAGGGAGAGCTCATTGGGAAGCGGCGAAGCGTGTCATGCGATATTTAAAAGGAACAATTGAGAAAGGCCTAGTATACAAACCAAATTTGGATAATACAATTACTGGTTACTGTGATGCCGACTGGGCTGGTAATATTGATGACCGGCAATCAACAACTGGATATATATTTGTATATCAATCCGCAGCAATATCATGGTCAACTAAAAAGCAAAAGACAGTAGCGCTATCATCAACTGAAGCAGAATTCATGTCAATTACAGCGGCTATACAAGAATCAGTCTGGCTAAAACGATTAGAAAACGAAATAAATCCTGACGCCAAGAAGACCATGAAAATATTTTGTGATAACAAAGGAGCATTACATGTGGCAATGAACAATAATTATTCTAATAGAACTAAACACGTCGACATAAAGGCAAAATTTATAAGGCAAAAAATCGATGAAAAAGAAGTAGCATTAGAGTACATTTCTACTAACGAAATGTTGGCAGATGTTTTTACAAAAGCTTTACCTTGTCAAAAATTAAAATATTTTAGAAATAGGTTTGGTCTTTTGTAAAACAAAATAATATTTTCTTTAATTTAATGAAAGGAGTTTACATTCAGGGAGAGTGTTGTAATTTGAATGTAAAACTACCTTTAACACTACTACTTGTAATTGTTATATTATATCTTGTATGCATTGAATTTGTATTCATACGAATTGTAAATTAGAATACACATTTTTTCAGTTTTCAATAAAACTTTAAACACAATAAATATTGTCCGCCAATACCTTTAAAACCCATATTAAATATTTTTCGGATGGTAAGTATTGAACAAGTAAGTATTCTACAGCAAAATAACTGATTAGTCGTTATGAAAATTGTAACTTTGATTCGATTTTATCAACATTTTAAACAACTTGTACAAAGGTCGGCCAAGAAGACTACTTTTGACAACAATTTGACAATAAATTAAGTAGATTATGCACTATTGCGATTTGACCTTCTTTGAATTTAAAGTCACCATTATGTTTTTGGCAGGAAACTTGGTTGTCAGATGACCTTACTGGTCGACCTTATATAGGCCGTGAAGTATATCTTTAACCTTTTTATTAATGATAGTTTGTTTTTTTTCAGTAAAAGTTTGTGCGCTAATCAGCTGATTTTTAATGTTGTTTTGTGACCGGAGCGAAAGCTTTAGAAAATTCTTGGATGAAAAAGATACACCGTGTGCTCCAGAACGTGCATGACCATGAACATGTAGAATGCATCTCCTGTTTCCTATGATGACCTTTTTAGAGACAAATAATATATTTTCTATATTCATTTGAGGAATAACAACTAAATACGAAAAGCTAATTAATCTAATATATGATTAAAACTCAAAAATACCAACAATTATTTATTATTATTAACAAAGGAACAATACAATTTATAATGAATTACATATTTCATCTTCACAAAGTTTTGTTACACAGATATCAGATGACAAGATAAAATGGAATCAATTACCACTATTAATTAACAAACGTGCCGTACTTTCGACATTATCGAAGAGACTTAGCAGTTCTTCTTCTTTGCGTTTGATGCGGGCTCTTATATCTGCAATTGATTCGGTTTTGGGCATTTCTCGGTTCAGTAATTGATCCATGCTTTGCATTAGTCTGGAAATAGCAAATGCGAGTATTTTTTAACATTTCTACGAGCAATAGTGCACTTCAAACGACTCTAGGGAGAAAATGGGGGAATAGACATTTTTGTTTAAAGAACATCTTTTCAACATGGGAGCCTGTTTCGTAGGGGTTAAATGATTCGAAGACTTTTAACACTTGAGATTTATAAAAAATTATTTTACTGACAAAATTGTGAACATAAAGAAGTTCAACGGAGATGGATAAATTACTCCGTTCCAGAACTGCAAGAATGTAAAACTTCTACAACGATAACCGACTTTTCGTTTATATCACAAAAAAATGCAAACGTAGTAGATTCTTGCAGGTTCTGGAACAGAACTTATGCAAACATTCGAAATTTCTATTAACGTCTGAAGACAGATATAGAAGTCATTTTTTTAGAAATTTTAGGCTTACGTAGGCTTTCTCAAGGTGGAATACATACAAACGATTTAAAGGTATTCAACAGAACGTCGTAGGCATCCTATAGTTGGAAACCTCTTTTCAAAGTCATTCATACAAATCCATACCTTTTATGGATTGATGACTTATTTTTGCATAAATTCCTTTAAAAAATATATCAATTCAGTTCCAAAATCTCTTACTTTTGATTCTCTGCAAAGGCGTCACAAGATTTACGCGGTGTTTTCCTTTTGGTGACGTATGATTTGTCAAGGAATTCCTGCAGATCGGTTAAATGTTCTTCTTGCCTTTCTGAGTGTTCTGGGAATTTGCGTTTCGTTTTCAACAGTTGCTTGTTTTTCAAGTCTCTGCGTCCTTTTTCAATTTCATCCACAATGTGCTTGGAGGGATTTAGAAATTTTATGTCACCCACTATTAGAGAATGATTTAGAATTTCTTCTTCTTGGGTCTGTATGGCAATATCTCCAGAGTCGGTTATTATATTTTGAATAGTTTTACTATCTTTTTGTTGAACTTTTCGCCCCAAAGACGATGAGGTGTTGTTGCGATTCCATTGAGGCTTCTTAGCTACCGTCATATTACGATTTATAGCAGCAGGGAGGTTAGATTTGATGACTACGGGATTTAGGGTTCCACGTTTATTTGTGGCCGGTTTTGATGGAATATTTTGAGTGTTAAAATTCTTTTTTGCGACATATTTGGAATTGATTGTATGGTTTTTGTTTACGGTACTATCTGTGGTACGTTTTCGAGTGATGGTAATTGTAGGTCCGGGCAATTTAGAATTTATTGAATTCTTAGAAACTCCAGTAGGTTTTGTTGTTGTAGCCGATCTAGTTATGGGCTTTGAAGTATTACCATTCCATCTAATTTTGGCAGTATCTCTTATTGCTTCTGCATCCAGTTTTTGTCGCTTAACCGCATTAGTTTTTTGCCCAGTTCCCGTTTTTGCCGAGTTTAAGTACATTCTTTAAAGATAATTTATTTGAAAAGGAAATTCGGAGTTATTTTGAAACCGAAATAGAAAGAAAATTTAAACTCCAAGATGTTTCCAAAAAATGTTTGGCAATAGAAAATTTGAAATTATTTTTCAATAAAAATATTACAAAATCAGAGGTAACTAAATTTTCACTGTGCAAGAGAGTTGAACAGTGCCTGTAGTGGGATTCTCTAAAGAAGAGAATACGTTAGAGGTGCGAATACATAAAACGACTGGCTTAAAAGTGACAATACATAAAACGCCTTTTTGATTGGCTTAAGTCATAGGCTGGCTTTTTCGGAAAAGAACAAAGGAGCATGGGGCCAAAATCGAACTAGATCAACCTATAATTCCTTTGTTCCTCTACGAAGAAGCTAGCCGATGAATTAAGCCAGTCAAAAAAGCTTTTTATGTACTTTTACCTTAACTCATTGTTTGAGAAGAATGAAAAAAAAAACTCATACACGATTTTAACGGTTAAAAATATTTATTTCCTTATTTTATGTTTTAGTACAAACTTAAAACTATATAAACAGCATCAATTAATACATTTCTTATTAATTAATTAAATTACATTGTGTAAACTTTCAAACGTTCTTCAAACCCCTCCAAGCCTTTGTGAGGTTAGATTTGAATCTGTTGGTTGTAGATGGATCTGTAGGAAAGGGAAAAAGAAAAATGGATAATAATTCTTGTAACAGGCGTTATGTTATTTAAATAAAATATTTAAATATTGTAATATATTCCAAACCCGGCTGAGTCAATATTAAAACTTACAGTATAATGATCATGGTACAATAAAAAGGTAAGGCAGGTTAGTAAAACTACTAAAATACAACCCTGTTACTATGCCGGCTTTCTGTAAAAATTTCTCAAAATTAGATGCAACAAGTTGTTCTCATACAAAATTGACAGAAGTCGGGCATATTTAGAAAAGAAATTGTAATCAGCTCTACCTTACATTTTTATTGATCGTGGCATGGTAGAATAATTGAGATAGACGCATCAACACAGCTGCTGGGACACTAAATTGTCAAACCAATTTTGGAATTGAAATTTTTTAAAAATTGGTGAAAAACGCATATTATAATAATCTCCGATTGACGTCGTATAAGAAAATATATAAAAATCTATATATGTTTGAAAAAATATTTAAACATTTTTAACATATCCATGTTTTCCAAGCGTTGATACATCTACCGGTATTCTTCTACCATGAAACGTGGTAATATATATTTGTTTTATGTATTTCCACCCTTAAGGATGATATTGTTTCTTAAATGAGTCATCAACCAGCTACTTCGTAAAAGAGTAAAGAAGATATGTTTTAGCTTAAGGTGAGAATACATAAAGCGCTTATCTGGCTGGCTTAAGCCATCGGCTGGCTTCTTCGGAAATGAACAAAGTGGCATAGAGCCAAATTCGAACTAAGTCAACCTTAAACTCCGTTGTTCCTCTACAAAGAAGCCATACGAAAAAGCCAGCCGATGACTTAAGCCAATCAAAAAGCCTTTTATGTACTTTGACGTTAAGTCATAAACTAGCTTCGTCGTAAAAGAACTAAGGAATTTAATTTTGACGTAGTTCAAGTTCTGCGCGAAATTTAAACTAGATTAACCTAGTGTCCGTTGTTACTTTTTTTTTTTTCAATAAAAAAAAATTGTTCTATGTATTTTCACCTTTAAAGTGTAGATACATAAAAGATTTCTTACAGGCTTTTTAGTTTTAGGGTTCAATTTTGGCTCATAATTGCTCAATTGTTCATTTACTAAAATTCCAGCCGACTATTTAATTCAGTTATAAAAGACTTTTGCAAGAAAAAATCCTCTTGAATGTGGAGATACATAAGATATAAAAAGGAATTGGGATGACCTAGTTTAAAAAGTGTTCTTCGTAAAAGAACAATGGATTTTTAGGTTGACTTAGTTCAATTTTGGATCATAATTTATACTTGTTTACCCTACTCTCCTTTGGTATTTTTCGAAGAAGGCAGAATATGACTAAAGGTGAGAATACATAAAGCTCTTTTTTGACTGACTTAAGTCATCTTTGTAAAAGAACAAAGGAGCGTAATGTGAACAAGTATAAATTATGGGCCGAAATTGAACTAAGACACCCTTATAATTTGACATACATGCTTCACATTACGCTCCCTGGTTCTCTTACGAAGAAGCCAGCCGAAGACTTAAGGTGAGAGTACATAAACAGCTTGAAGTCTTCGCATGACATATTTTGTGACATATCATGAAGGAATGCCAGAACCGCACTCAAAGTCTGCCGTCGTTTCCCTTTATAATTTAACATAAATATACCTAGCCATGATGCCAAGCTACTTATGTACCCTCACCTTTAAGATAGTAAAAAAATATTTCATGTATTCTCAACTTTAAGCCAGTCAAAAGAGCGTTTTTGTATTCTCAACCATGGTAAAATTAAGAAGGTAAAGTCATTTCAAATAAAGGTGAGAATAGATAAAACGCTTTTCTGACTGGCTGGATTCTTCGTAGAGAAACAAAGGAGTTTTGGGCTGACTTAGTTCCATTTTGGTCATTCGCTTCTTTGTTCTTTTCCGAAGAAGCCAGCCGATGACTTAACCCAAGCGTTTAATGTATAAGCGTTTAAGCGTTTAATGTATTCTCACCTTAAGACTATCGATCTCTACATTCTCTGTAATTTACCTTGCCGATCTCTCTGATTTGGGTATTTACAATGGTTTTGTAAGTATATATTTTGACAATGACACGTTGTCAAATAAATAATTTTGAAAAAAAAAAAATGTAAACATATGAGTGCATGACATTACCTTCTTGATTTACCATGTTTTCAACTTTAAAAAGTTAAATAAGTAAAGTTATGATTTTATGAATTTCTCTTAAGAATCCTTTTGTCTAAGGGAACTTTTCGAAAAAGTAAGTTAGGACACAGACAAAGAACTATTCGCAAGAGAAAAGCTGAGAGAAATCAGAAGCCAATGGCATTTATTACCCATACTTTTTCTAAAACTTAATATTTAAACTTTTACGTTGTTCTCTTTTAACCCAAAAAATGAGGAGATGAATTTAAAGTTAGCATTTCCCCCAACCTCAAAGCAGATGATGACCACCAAAATTTAATGAAATACAAACATTGATGAGTTTTTTTATTTTTGTTGATAAGGAATACTTTGCAAATTTTATTTTTGATTTGAAATATAATCATGTTGGTTTATATGTATATAATTACGTTTACATATGTATATAGATATATTTAAATATTACTTTTAAACTACTATGCAGTACTACACAAAAACAAAACAAAAATATTGTTAATATTCTTTTAATTAAAGCCGACAATTGTGACAAAATTTAATTATACGATTAAACCGTTTTATTTAATGGGCAATGTGTTGTTTATGTTATTATTAAAAATTTATATATTTAAAAGAAAACAAATAAAAAAAACTAAAAAAAAACAATTTATGAAATATATTGCATTTATATTATTATTAAATAATAAAAATTATTAAATTATATTGATTATCAACTATGATTTGGTTTAGTTGTGAGTCGTCGTAGCAGCAGAATCATGGAAATTAAATAATTCATTTTTGTAAGTAATAATATGTTCTTATAAAAATATTAAATTAATTATTTCAAAGATATAAAATTAATAATTTTCTTATTTATTAAAAAAATAATATGTTTCGTATTATCTGGAAATTGGTTTTGTTCGTAAAAATGTATTAATTTTCGATATCGTTTGATCTCTTTTATTGTTCTTTTCATAGTATTTTTTGTATTAGTTTGAGGTTATGCTTTTACCATTTTCAAGTGTAAATTTCAGTTAAAATCTAAATATAACAATCGCCAAAATGGCGGAAGAACTCCGTCTTATAATTAATTAAATTATTGAAATAAACTAATAACTCGGGTTTTCAGTGGTCTCAGAACTTAAGGTGGAAACACATAAAACGCTTTTTTGACTGGCTTCTTCGTAGAGGAACAAAGGAGTCTTGGGTGGACTTAAGGGGAGAAAACATAAAACGCTTTTCTGACTGGCTTAAGTCATCGGCTGGCTTTTTGGGAACAGAACCAAGGAGCCTAAGGCCGAAATCGTACCTAAGCCAGTAAAAAATGCGTTTTATGTATTCTCACCTTCATCTATATCCTGGCGGTGTCTCTGAAACACGAGCCAACATCTCCATGGGGATACATACATAGAAATAACTAAAACTCAAAAAACTCAAAAAACAAAAAAACTAAATAAAAATCATAGAAACGTAAAGGTGAGACCACATGGAGCAAGTTTTTTACTGGCTTAAGTCATCGGCTGACTTCGTCGTAAGAGAGCAAAAAGTTGTAGGTTGACTTAGTTCATTATTGTCGCATAAAATATACTTGTTCACCCTTCGCTCCTTTGTTCTCTTCCGAAGAACCCAGCGGTCTGTGTGTTCTCATCTTTACAGATGCTTCTCAAACTATTTCTTTCCTCTCGCTCGCTCTCCTATATTTTCTATGGCTAAAAAAAGGGCATACACATCAAAATCGAAACATTAATTTGTGTCAGAGAATGTCGATGAACGGGTTTATTCTCTTTCTCTGCAAACAAGACTTTTTCAATGATAATTTAAAACTTTTCGAAGGATAATTATAAAGAGATATGAATTTAAAGATTTAATTACAAGTGTATGCGATAAACTGTTTCTTTCCTTTGGTCTTATATTGTAACTAGCGAGCCCTACATTTGTGATTGACGTAATGTTACAGTAAGGTAAAGTTACCGTAAAGTTAAAGTTGATTATTCCTTTCATTAGAGTGTCTTACAATTATTTTAACTCCTGTATAATTTCAATTTTATGAATTTCATTTCCTCGATTTACACTTGAAAATGGTTTCTATCTAATAATTGCAATGCAATTTCGCAAATCTTTAAATTATAATAATCACTATTTTTAGGTTATATTATATATAGAAAAAATATATTTATATATTAATATATGTATTTGTATATATAGATTTATTTTTTTTTCAAATATAGTTTTTTTTTACAATTAGTTAAACTAAATATGTGTATGGATGTATTTTGGTTAGAGTTCTTATTAGATGAACAAAATATTTATGTATATATATTAAGGCCCAGGTTATTTGCTATGAAACCAATTGATAGATGATGATGATGCGTACGTTGTTACAGTGGGTAGAATAAGAAGTTTTATTTTATTTTTTCACAATACCATAACTACAATTTCCGTCAAGATCACCAACATCTTGCCAAAATCTACTCTCTTCGCTCTCTACAAACATATACGCTTTACACCGCAATCCATACAAAATTTAGCATGTTCTATGAGAAATTTACTGCCACATTCATGGCAGAATTTTGACATTTTCATACTTGAACTCATCGTTGAACTGGAGCCATACAACTGGGTTGAGGAGCTTGCAGGAGTTTCACGATTTGAATTCATCATTGGTTGCTGTTGCTGCTGATGATGGCTATTTGGTGTTGATGTCAAACCCATTGCGGTCATCATTGTAGGATGTATGGGCGTGGTATCATAGTTGTTATTTCGTTCACAACGTAACATCTCATCCAAATCGTGGCCTATAGGATTGTTGTTGTTGCTGCTATTGTTATACAATTGTTTTTGGTAAATGTTGTTGTTAGTATTACTATTGTTATTATTGTTATTGTTATTTGGGCCAACCATAATTGGTGGCAAGGCATGTTCAGAACTACTGCTGGATGAGGCACTCAATTGTCGACAACGTTCCTCGGCCAAGGGACGACTTGTTATCACATTGCCACCGCTACTTTGATTATTTGTTAATGGTCGATTACGACTAGTATTACGTGGGTTAGTTAGTTCAGAAGAACGTTGACGCGAAAGACTGTGGGAAAAAGAGAGACAAATTAAGAAGATGTCATGGGTATTACATTCGAATTAAAGTAAAGGTATCCGTATATATATGAAAAGTGTCGATGGTTTCTTGTAAGGGTCAAGGTGAGAATACATAAAACGCTTTTTTGACTGGTTTCTTCGAAAGGAACAAAGGAGTTTTAGGTTGACTTAGTTCGATTTTTTACCTTAACGGTACAAATAACGCACATAAACAAAAATCTATTTTCACAAATAACTTTTGTGTCACTAAAGAATAATTTTTATCTGTTATTAATTAATGACACTTTACTAATATATTTTGAGTTTGTACAGCAGCACTTAGCCAGCCGATGATTTAAACCAGCCAATAAATCGTTTTATTTATTCTCACCTTTACCTTCAAGTCGTTATTCGTTCGAGTCCGTTTAAGTCAAGTTATTGCTCTTTTCCAGAGTTTCTACTACGATAACCGATTTTCCCTTTATGATATCGATTAAAATTGCCCAATTAGTAGATTCTTGCAGGTACTAAAACAGAACATATATTTGAAACGTATGAAACTGTATATTTTTTATTAAAATATTCTCTAACGTTTCAACTGATCCACACACTAGTCATTTTAAATTGTTTCGATTTATAAATCAACCTTTCAAATGAGACTTGTATAGATTTGTTTAATGTTATATAAAATGTAAGTCAGCTGGTCTTTGTTTACCTATACACAGACACTTTTTACTTAAGCTGCTATCAGACGATAAGTGTTTTACATATGCGCTGTCACATTTACTATGCATTTGTATTTCCGTGTGTATGTCAAAATTGCAATTTTACATATGACTCCTAATTCTTTCTATCACAAACTTACATATGCTCTTTTTATTCCCTTTGGTAACATGTATTTTCTAAATATAATAGCTTATGGATGACTTATACTACAAATTTAATTTTAAATTTTTTCCCCACTACAAACAAACAGCACTTTTTATTAAATTATATTTTTCCGATGAAAATAGGACTCGCCGTGATCGAACATTTACGTATGTTCTTTGCTCATGTGTATGCATGGTAGAAGAATATAGGTAGACGCATCGACACAGCCGCTGGGACAATAAGCAGCTTGAATTATTGTCATATTTTGTGGCATATCATAAAGAGATGCTAGAGTCGCACTCAAATCCTGCCGCCGTCTTCCTTTATTTTATTTGACATTTGCTCGGTTCCAGAACCTAAAAAAATCTACTATTTTTGCAATTTTTTCGATATCATAAAGGGAAAATTAGTTATCGTAGTAAACATCTTTACATACTTGCAGTTCTAGAACAGAGCATAATATGCCTAGCCATAATGCCAAGCTGCAACCAACAGACTGCTGTCATTTCGGAGCCACTCGTCTGACAGTTGTTAAAATTATTCCAGTGACAGCTCATTATATAGTTTAAAAGCGTTCAAAAGCATTTTGGCGAGAATTTTCCAGAAAAATGTTATTCGTCATGTAATTCAAGCGCGATAGTGTGAGTATTCCAGCATTTAAATGTGAATAAATCTTTTGTGTTTCGTACGATCGCTCGTTACCGTGATACTGGTAGCGTAGCCCGACGTCAAGTAAGTGGACGGAAGAAAACAGCAACATCAGCAGAAATGGTTCAAAAAGTAAAAAAGCGACTTGATCGAAACGTGGCCGCTTCGCAGTGGCCGAAAAATGGCTCGTGGCTCGGCAAATATTGAAAAATTAGCTCGGGGCAAGCCACCTCAACAGAAATAAAATAGACTCAAAAGAGCTAAAGAGTTGCTTCACTTGGCCGAATGTGGTGAACTGCCGATTTTGGGTTTCTCCGATGAGAAAACATTCGTTGTATAGCAGTTTGGTCACTGATGGTCGCTCCCCGCTCGTATTAATCGACCGTGGCATCAGAATAAATGCCGAATATTATCGCGAAAATATTCTGGAGGGTGTATTAAAACCTCCGGGCACGCAAACATTTTGGCCGCAGACCATGGGCATTCCAGCAGGACTCAGCACCATCGCACTCAGCACGCGCCACCCAAGAATGGTTATAAAATGAGGTTCCTCGCTTCATTTCCAGCGCACAATGGCAATGGGCTGGACTATTTTGTCTAGAGTATTTTGGAAAGGAAGGTTGGCACTAAAAAATACAAAAGCAAGCGCTTCGCCGGGAATGGGCCAAAATACCGCAGGGCAGAGAACATTCGGGCAGCGTGTGACGATTTCATTGGCCGTTTGAAGGTCATAATTCGTGCCAAAGGTGACCAATTCGAACAAATCTAAACTTATTCCAAAATTTAAAAAAATGTAAACAATTTGGCATTTGACTTTGTTGCACTTTTTTAATCTCACCCTGTATACCCATTTACAATGATTAAAGGTGAGAGTACAAAAAAGTTTTTTTGACAGACTTAAGTCATCAGATGGCTTCTTCGTAGAGGAACAAAGGAGTTTTAGGTTGACTTAGTTCGATTTTGACCCTGCGCTCGTTTATTCTTTTCTGAAGAAGCCAGAACTAAGCCTGTCAAAAAAGCGTTTTAGGTATTCTTACCTTAAGGTCATTATTTTGATTTGTGTGCTTAATCATCCCACATTTACGATTGGTAATTTCACATTGTAGAAGAATTGACGCCTCGGAACATTGTTATGCCAAAAATTTGAAAAAGTTTTTTCAAAAATAAATAAATTTTTGTATTTTTTTTATACGAAGACAATCGGAGCTTGTTATGATATGCATTTTTCAACAATTTTAACGAATTTGAATAATTTTTCCTTCAACATTTTCAATTTCAAATTCGGTTTGACAGTTCACTGTCTCAAAAGCTGTGTCGAAGCGACTACCTGTAGTCTCAGTATATCAATCTCATATGCTGTGTTACAGGACCAGCAAGAATTTACTAGTTTTTCAAATTTGTTCGATACCATAAAGGTAAAATGGGTTATCGTAGTAAAAAGTTTTACATTCTTGCAGTTCTGACCAATATTTTTACCAAAAGTCTGTCCAGATTCCATACAGTCCTTTCTATATAAGAAACCATGATGCAAAAATGTATGCCAAAAATGTCTTCCCAAATCTAATCAATTTGTAATTTTGAAAATTTGTTTAAATAATGAAAATGGGAAACAAAACATTATTACTTACCTCCCATAGGCCGAGTCTGCACTCGTTTTGGAACTAACACCCAGACGTGAGTTCGGCGATGACAGCGGATAGCCATCCAAACTGCTTAGCTCATCCGAATCGGCGTAGGCATCACCACTCGGTGTACCCGTGGCTTTGTTCGCCTTATTGCGATTATTCATCATCGACGTGGTCGTCATGTCATTGGATCTTTGCTGCTCCAGAGACTGCCTGAGATTGGCCGTCATTTCATCACTCAGCTGGCGAAAGTCTTTTTGCATTTGTTGTATAAGATTTTTAGCGTTATTCAATTGAACATCGGGTTTATTTAAAAAATGGCCAATAAATTGATTACCTCCTCCTGCTCCTGCGGCGGCAGCTGGCGTGGATGCAATTGGTATGCCGCGACTCCGAAGACCAGGTGTTAGGTTGTGATGCTGTTGTTGCTGTTGCTCATCATCATCGCTGATTTTGCTGAATTTATTGTCGGCTGCGTCCACCTCCAACTCGACCAGGCATTGGGGATTGCCCATCATCATGTCGCGTATTGAATTCGGAGAGATGGATTCTCGGTCCATATCGTCATTCTGTTCGGTTTCAATGCTTATGAAAATCTCCCGTTTTTGGTGGTGGTTGTGGTTACCAAGCAACTCATCGTCACTAGCAAGGGACTTGTCGTTATACCTATTTTTGGTGGCTCTGTTATTGGGGGAAAAGGAATCGAAAAGACCTTTAGGATGGGGTGGTAGGTTGGGGAATTGAAAATGATGTTGGGAATTCAAATTATTGCTGTTACAACTACTTGTGTTGTTGTTATTGTGGTTGTTGGTGTGATTGTTAAGGGGAGGGAATGTATTTGGGGCATTGGTCTTCTGTTGGGGGACAGTGGTGTTGTTGTTCACATTGGAATTCGGCACTAACATCGATCTTTGTTTCTTCGATGTCCGATTCAATAGAAATTCTCGACAATCCTTAAATAGAGGAAATTGTTCTTCATCATTTTCGAATGATGATAGGAATTCCTCAAAATCAAAATTATCAAATTCGGCCGGCAATGAAGGTGGCGGTATGAATGGCTCCTCCAAATTATTCATTTGGGCACTGAGGCGATCGAAGGCCTTCTGGTGTTCCTTCATGAAGTTTTCACACTCCATGGACGAACGATTGGCCTCATCATCAGCCGAACATGAATCCGCCTCGGGCGAGGCGTCGTATAAGAATTGATTGCGACCCAGGCGAATGCGTCGCTTTAGAAGATTGCGTCCCTCAGCAGAGTTGCGTTGATTAGCCGCCGAAGACAATTGGCTAGTTGGCTGATGATGCAGCTGCTGTTGAGCTGCAGGCGGGGCAGCTATATTGGAAGAGGATAAAGGAGGAGCAACGGAGGTCTTGGGGGGAGCTCCACTTTGGTTATCGATCTTATTGACGGAGGGCAAAAATTTCGTTGGTGGCACCGACGATGATTCGGACGAGGAGGAAGATAAATGCTCCCGACGATTTGCCTGCAAAGCAACCGAATCGGAGTGCTTGAAATCATTGCGTAGCTTATTTAAATTAATGGGTAAGTTATCACATTTGTTAATTAGTTTTGGATCGATATAGTCGGAGGCTCCCACCGAAGCTTTGCGCTCTTCAGTGGATTTTTGGGTACTGGACCCAAACAGGGAGCTAAGAGCAACAGGTTTTTGGGATGTCTGAGGTTTGATTTGTTCCATGGGATGTAAGGTCTTTGAATTCAGGGGAGTCAGAGGTTTGTTTAGGGGTGTAGAGGGTTTGGTAAGGGGTGTGGAGGGCTTGGTTAGAGGTGTAGATGGTTTGCTTAAAGGTATTGCCACCGGTGTTGAGGGTTTGGTTAAATGCTGTCCATTGCTTGTGGCTGTGATGAGTGGTGTGGTCGGCTTGGAGCCTAGCGGGGCCAAGCGAACAGAGTTATATTTGGTGGAAGCATCTTGGGACCCAAGCTTGGGAACTTCATAATTCTCATTCGGTTCACTCAAACTGAGATCCAAAAGGTCGGCTTTAATGTTCTTTGCCGAATTTTGTTTGCTTAGATTGTTACTCTTGTCCTTTAGCTCCTTGGCATTGAGAGGGCCATCCAGATTAGTTAAGGCTGGTGTTGTGGGGGCAGCGTTGGAGGCACTTGTTTCCGAACCCCTTATACTATTTTGATCCGGGTTTTCCTTGATGGTTTCAGTATTCGCTGCCTTATTCAATTTCTCCAATTCGTGTTCGTATTTCAGGAACACTGCCAAGGAATCGGTTTTGTTGACATATCGCGAAGCAGTATTGGGAGCACTTTCCGTTTCACTGGTATTGGGTGTTAGGCCGCCACTGTTCGCTGCAGCCTCATTGGCAGCATTGATGTTCAGTTTCAGGGGCTGTTTACGATTCGAGGCCGATGTATCCCGACGCACCACACGAGGACTTTTGGTGATGGCATAATCATTGACACAAACCGATCGAACTGGCATTTCGTCGTATTCCTCGGGTTTCATGAAATTCGACGATATCGGACCCTCATCGGAGAGACCTCTCTGTATGGTGGGCCTGTGTTTCTGGGCAAATAAGGGTACGCGTTGTGTCAGCAAGGGCGAGCGGCGTGGACATCTCAAGGACCCTGTTCGCCGGAAGCTCGAAGATCTTGTCAGGGTGGGTGTTTTGGATGTTGTTTGTTGTGACGATGTTGTGTTGGTTGTGGGACTAGATGATGTGTTATTTGTGCTCGATGTACTACCAAGTGTCAGAGAGGTGGACATTTTATTGGTTGTTGTCGAGTTCGTTGCTGCCGGTGTGGCTGGCAAACTGGGCAGTTGTGGTGTTGTGGGAGAGGATTCTGTGGTGGGTGAACATAGTTCCTCTAGCTGTCGTTTGGCTGATAAAAATGGATCATAGTTATCGGGTAGGCCACTGAAATGGGAGGTGAAACGTTAGAAAGGTGTGCATAACATTTGACAGGATCAGATTGATTTCGAAATGTTGAGTAATGGAATTTCGAAATAAATCTGACAAAGTTTATTTAATCTTGCAGAACCCAGTCTCAGCAGAAATACACTTGAATGTTGATTTGTGAAGCTTTTCAAGACCTATATTTTATATCTTAAAATCTTGTCGAAGATTTCCTACAGTAGCCTGGAAAGAGTATGTCTGCTAATAAGGCTCTTCCCTATGCAGAATATCTTAAGGTGGCACCTTAGAAAACCTTTTGTAGGTCTCTATTTGTAAAATATCTTTTGGAGGTCTTATATGTATTGAAGGCTCCGATTAAGTTTTCAAAATATTTAAGAAATCTTATGTGTACTAAAGACCTATGGGATACAAGAATGGATTTCTATGGATATAATACTCTGGAAGGTATTCTATGTGTGGAAGGTCTGTGGGATGTCTTCAATTTATAGAAGACCTTTATGAGATCTTCTATTTATAAAAGACATTTTGGAGGTTTTCTTATTATAAAATATCTTTAAAAAGTATTTTGTTGTATGTTCAGAGAAGAGATGATCTTCTAGGTATAAAATATATTTAAGAGATTTTCTGCATAGAGAATACTTCTATTTACCGAAGAGCATGAAAGGGGCTTCTATAAATAGAATATCCGTGGGGGATATTTTATGGGCAAATGGCTTTTGAAGGGTATCGCTTATATATGTGTCCCTTAGACGGCATTCTATGTACAGGACCTTTAAAAATTATTCTGCGTTGAGAATACATTAAGGGTAACCTCTGCACATAGAATACCTTTAAGATGACTCTTATATATAAAAGATTCTTAGGAGGTCTTAAGGTTAGCTTCCTAGACCTAAAACATGATCTTTAAAACGTCTTTGATGTACAGAATACTTATGCATGGCCTGCCGATGTGTGGAAGTTCTTCTATATTATAAAACATATTTTCTACAAAGTCAACGGGAATTATTTCAGTGCATTTGTGCTCACTGCACACCCAAGTATAAATTTTTTACCACACTTACCTTATGACAAACGAGTCGCTACGTATCAAACGAGTAGATGTAGATTGTCCTCTCAACTCTTCTCTTCCAGGGCTCTCACGGCAATAAATTTTTGGACTTTGATACTCTCTTTGCTCACCTTCGCTCTCAGTATTGTTTTTGTTCTCTTGTTTTGGATTTTTAATCTCTTTCCTTTCCATACATTTCTCAATATTTTTTTGCTTTTCATTTGGTTCTCCGTAACACTCTATGCTTTCGGATACCTCTTCATGTAAATCTTCTTCTTCATCATCATTTTTCAAATGAGACGCCGGAGAAATGCCATAGATTTCTATGGTTTCTTGTTTGAGAGGTAATGCTTTCATGGGTTGAGAGGAATTCCTCTCAACAGTTTTAATCTCCACTCTCTTGCGGTTTGGTCTACAAATACTCAATGATTTTACTGGGCTCTTCTCAAGTCTGACTTGGGATTTTTCCATATTCAAGGAGATTGTAGAGCGTGGTGTGGACTCCAGGGACTTGGTGGATGGTGGAGGCGGTGGTGTAGATGCTCTTACTCTTTTGCTATTTTGCTGGTCACTAGATCCTGGGGCATTCGAATCTTGGAGACCTAATGTATCTGGAGTTCGTCTACTGGATCTTAATGCAACCGTTGAATTTGATGTCGATTCCAGAGACTTTGGGGTTTGCAAAAGAGGTGGCGTGGCAGTTCTTTTTCCCTTGGAACACACAATTTGAGGAGATGTTGTGTTATGATTTTTATTAGTATTTGATTTATTCTCGGAAAGCAATTCTGGTTCTTGAATTTCATTTGTAGGAGCTATTTGACGTCTGGGTGGACTAAAATTTCGGAAATTCTTTTTCAAACCAATAAAATTCTTGGCATTCAATCCAACATCTTCCAGGTTTTCAGGAGGTGTTATGAACTCTTCATCGGTTGCTTCTGAATAAGAAGACCTCTCGGATTTGATATATGTTTCAGTGGTAGACATTGAGGTTTTGAGGGTACTATCTCGGTCAATATCCTCTTGTAAATTATGTGTGGAGGATGCATTCAACTGAAGTTGCAGAGATTTGAAATTAACTTCTTCCTGAGGGGTTGAGGCTTTCTTTGGGTTATCAAATTCTGGTGAGAGATCCGAGGCAGAGGCTTCCCTTAATTTAAGTTTATCCAGGGTCTCATAGGCTTTTTGTAATATGTCTTTGCTGTTGTTTCGCGAAGCCGAATTTGGTGGGGAGGCTAAGGAAATATTTCTATTGGATAGATCTGAAGGGTTTCGAGAAATACCGGGGGTTTTATTGATACTATTTTTTGACATTGACCTTGATAGAGTTTTTGGGAAATCTTCGGGAATTTTCCTTGAAACTCCAGTTATGCTTAAGCTTTCCTTTGAAATGGTCCTAGAAAAACATTTAGCTCCACTAATATCCGGCAAAGTTTTGGTTTTACTTTGGGTATGTTTGGAAATCACTTCCTCGGTAGATATTTTGACTTGTTCTTCCTCCATATGTTGTTCTCTTCTTAGTTTTGGTCTTTCTTTGGAAAGAGATCTAAGCAAGGTTTTCAGTTGAGGTCGAACTTTTAGCTCATCCAAATATTTTTGCTGTAAATCCCCGCCATCTTCAGACCGGAAAACTTCCAAACCCTTTTTATTTTCGTCGTTTTTGATACGTTTGGTAAAGGTCTTGGAAGTATCTCGAACGTTTTTAGTCCCCTTATTTAAAGCTATTCCTTTCTGGGGTTCAATTACACAACTTGGTATTTCAGCTCCTCCATGTTCTTTTCGTGTAATTTCGAAAGACTTTTTTGTTTCCTTCCTTTGGGTCATGATTTTCCTGGAACCCATTATACGATTTTCTTGAACCGCCTCCAAGCACTCAGACATATCTAAGAAGTGGAGATTTTTGTTGGGAGTTAATACTTCCTTTTCCTCCTTGACTGGTTCATTGAGTGTAAAATATTCTTCCATGGTGAGCTTAGGTGCATGCTCTTCCGTTGCATTGGACACTTCTTTGGTGGAGGAAGGGTAAAATGTCAAACTCTTCGTGAGATTCACTTTTGTTCCAGGTGAGGTGTTTTCTATAACTTTGTTAAAACACTTTATGTGAAAGGAGGTCGTGTTTGGGTTATGATTTGGAAGTTTTCGTTTAAGAGTACCAGAAAAAAGAAATACTAAAATGGTCCAGGAAGTTCTTTATAAGCCGTTTAGAAGCCATTTAATATGCAAATTAAAAAAAATTAGGAGGCTGTTTAGGCTTAGAAGATATTTAAAAGGATTTTCGAGATTGAGTTTTTTAGGAGATGACTTAAGGAAGTATTTTATGCGCAATAAAAATTCGACTGGAGTTTTCAAAATACCTTTGGGATGTCATCAAAACAAAAAAAAAAAAAAAAAACGGAATAGTATCATGTGCTTTTCTCTATCCAATAATTGAGGAGGCGAGGCCATTTAATAGAAAAAATAAGACTTGCCGCATCGTAATTTATCTTTATGCTTTATTTTTAATAAAAGCAAGTTAAGAAGTATTTGTCGGGCTTGCCAACTGAAATATACCCTCAGCCAATGTACGACTATTTAAAAATATAAAGTGATACTGGTAGCGTAGCCCGACGTCAAAGAAGTGGACGGAAAAGAACAGCAGCATCAGCAGAAATGGTTCGAAAAGTAAAGAAGCGACTTGATCGAAACCCCCATCGCAGTGGCCGAAAAATGGCTCGTGAGCTGAACATATCACAAATATTGAAAAATGAGCTCGGAGTAAAGCCATTGAAATTCCAAAAAGTGCAAGAGCTTACACCACAACAGAAAAAAAATAGACTCAAAAGAGCTACAGAGTTGCTTCGCTTGGCCGAAAGTGGTGAACTGCCGAATTTGATTTTCTCCGATGAGAAAACATTCGTTGTTCAGAAGTTTGTAAACAAACAAAATGATCTTGTTTACTTGCCAAAGAGGTCAGCTGAAAATGTGCACCTTCGGTTGGCCACCAGAACTCAAGCGCCGCCATAACAGCCGATGGTCGCTCTCGACTCGTATTAATCGACCGTGGCATCAGAATAAATGCCGAATATTATCGCGAAAATATCTGGAGGGTGTATTAAAGCCTTGGGCACGCAAATATTTTGGCCGCAGAACTTCGACATTGCGACAGGACTCAGCACGCGCCAGCCAAGAATGTTTACAAAATGAGGTTCCTCGCTTTATTTCCAGCGCACAATGGCCACCAAAATCTCCGGATACCAATGCGTTGGACTATTTTGTGTGGAGTATTTTGGGAAAGCAAGGTTGGCACTAAAAAATACCAAAGTGTCGATCACCTCAAGCAAGCGCTTCGCCGGGAATGGGTCAAAATACCATAGAGCAACATTCGGACAGCGTGTGACGGTTTCATTGGCCGTTTGAAAGCCATAGTTCGTGCCAAAGGTGACTAACTCGAACAAATCTAAACTTATTCTAAAATCTGATGCTATTTTCGACATATTTTTGCCTTCATTCAATAAAATTTAAAAAATGTTATTCAAAACGTTGACCCCTTGCGGGGGAGGTACCAGAAGAAGTTGGACAGTTTATCTTTGAGATCTTCAAATAATATTTTGTTTTAATAAAAATAATGAAATGTGAGAAATTTGATTTTTTTCACATTTTATGAGAGTCATCTTTATTCAAAATGTTGACCCGTTGTGTGTGTTGGGGGAGGTGTAAGAAGCAGTGTTCCGATATATTCCATCTTCACAGCCGATCTTGTGTAAGTAAACATATTGAAATGTGCCGAGTTTGAAAACAATCAGATGATCATTTTGCGTTTTATAAGGATCATGAATATTATACGATTTGCCCTGTTTGTGGGGGAGGTACCAGAAGGATGGGGTCGATATCTACCATCTTTATACTAGGAAATATTGGAATGTGAAATTTGACAATCGGATGGTTATTTCGCATTTAATGAAAGTTCTAATTATTCCAAATTTTGACCCTTTGTAAGGTAGGTATTTGATGGAGTGGGACCATTTTGTCTATTTTCGGACCTGACCTAGAACTCTGTGTTTTCTCCGAACTCTATCTAAGTCTGACAATAATATCACGATGTATCAAATTTGGATCAAATCGGATGCCCTCTTCGAAAGTTATCGTGCGCACCAGCCAGAAAGACAGACAGACGGACGGATTAACTGACACCCCTATATCGACTCCAAATGTCCTGGAACGGATTCGGCCCAAAGATATCTAGGGTCTAAAACAGTAATTTGGATGAGGTACGTTTTGGTCGTATCAATTCGGTCGTATCAATAGGAGAGAGCATGCTTCGCCATTTTTAGAGTGGGAACAAAATGCGCGGAACCCTTTTTGTAAACGGAACAAAAAAAAGGAAATACGTTGAAGAGCATTGCCGTCAATCTGACCTAGGTTCTGTTGTTTTTTCCTGTTACACGCACATACAAATCATCAAAAATACTTCGATCGACATGGATGTCATTCTAATTTTTCATATAAAACAAAAGTTCGAGCACTTGCTTGAAAGTATCTCTACCGACTTAAAACGAGCAAATCTATGCTCTGAGTATTGTACTATAATTTAACCAAATTTGTAAAAAACCTCCAATATGATTGCCAGCTTCCGCTGGCTGAAATGTGGATTTTAAAGAAATGTTAGCACATATTTACCAGTTTTCCGTTCCTTTACTTTCCTGTAATTGTTGTTCTCTCTTTTATAAGTTTTGCCATTTAAAGAGTGAACAAACAGAGCTTGGCGGCAGTCTTATTTCGAAAATACAAGTTCATTACTTTCACCGTTGTCTTGAAACCCTATCTCTTGTATTATCAGTGGACTTGGTCTTTTCCGATTGCTCTCTTTATATTTCATACAATAGATATCTTTTCTCATAACCACTATATTCAGAAAAATGCGGAAAATCCAAGAAGAAAAAATTTTCTTCACATTTATGGATCTGTATTTCCAAAAATAATTTGATAAGTTTGGTTCATGGCATATATTTTGTTTATGTATACAGATCTCTACGGAACATCTGGAGCTTTCTAAAAACGCTCAAAAAGCCACATGATTATTTCCTCTGTCGGAACGAAATTATGATCTTGATTATGATCTCTAAATATAACAAAGCTATCAGTTACATTTCATAACCTCCTTCATTTCATAACCTCCAATACAAAGTTAAGCCAATAATCAAATACTCCAGCGTTCGTCAGATTGGTTTTGCAACAATAACAAACGTCTCCCATAAGTATGGTTCTAACATGCCCTCTTCAAGATTACAATGTATCCCTATACCCTGTATTCATTGTATAGCGTTCCGTTAATTTAATTAACTCTTTGTTTATTTTCACACATCAGCAGTTTTGTTTTAGATTTCAAACTATATTTTTTTTTTCGCTGTAATTATTTTAATGACTTCTTAGTGCTCTCCGGCTAACCTCCATCAATGGAAGATTTGCAGTTTTCTGCTGTGGCCTAGGAGGTCTGTGAATGGTTCTAATGTTTATTTTTCCAGCTGCTCTATTTTGACTTGCAAACCAATACAAACTGTCTTCATTCATTCATTCTGTTCCCGGAGCATAGCTATTATTTTCCATTTAATTAACGCAGCTCTACAAGTTTGCCTTAAACTGCAATTCTGCCAATGCTCTCAACCACTACAGCAACGGCTGGCTGGTGCAGGGCCATGCCAAGGTGATTGCTGACGATTATGATGTGCAGTTTGGAGAAAACAGAAAACTATAGCAAATGATGCATAGTTCGTTGAATATGCAAAACCCGTCGCTGTTAATTATGATTCGCTATGAAAAGTTTATTTTAATCGCCTTAAAGTTATGCTGAGCATAACCATACCACAGAGCATATCAAGTGTTGCGGCGTTGAAGGCATGTTACAATCAGTGTGACCGCTGGAAATTTTCAAAAAGTGTCACAAAAAGTATCATTTCTTGAAAAAAGTGGCACATATCATTTTAAATGGTGGCACAGAAAGTGGCACAATTTATTTCACATTTCATTTAAAAAATAACAGTTTAGAACAAAACAACAAATTCATCTATATGTAATACTATATAGTAATAATATATGTATGTACATATTGCATATTTAACCAGTAAATAAAGCCTTGAAGTCGGACGGGGCCGACTTTATGATACCCTACACCACTTTGCTAATTTAGTAGAGCTCCGCATAACAATTAAAAGTTTTTATGGGAGAACTAAATCATACACGCTATGATTATAATTATAATTTAAAGTTCAAAGGACTAAATATGCCGAAGCATTTGTATCTTTTAAATTCGGACTTGTATTGCCCATTTGGTGCACAATTAGTTTGAAATCGGATAAAGATATATATGGCAGCTATATCCAAATCGGAACCGATCTCGATAAAATTTGGCAAAAGTTATTTCTGAGCTGTATTTGATATATTTCCCTGAATATGGTTGTTACGGAGTGCATATTACGGTTGTGGGTAACAAATATGACAAATATATATATGGGAGCTATAGCTATATATGAACCGATCTACACCAAATTTGACATACTAGCTTCTAGACTCAATTCGGTCGTAAGTGCCAAATTTTATCCAATTTGGGCAAATATTAGACGTTTGGTGAACAATCAGAGGTAAATCGGACGAAGTTATATATGGGAGCTATATCCAAACCTGAACTTCGTCCTTGGGCCAAACAAATGATTTGTACAAAATTTCATCTGGATAGGGCAATAAATGCGAACTGCACTTTGTTTACAAAAATACATGAACAGACAGACGGACGGACGGACATGCACAAATCGAATCAGAATGTGATTCTATGCAGATCATCAAAAGGGACTATGGGTCTATCACGTTTCCTTGTGACCACCTTGTGGTGTAGGGTATAACAAGTAAAAAAGCTGTAAGTTCGACCGGGCCGAACTTTGAATACCCTCCACCATATGGTACAAATTTGGCAATTTTCAAAAAACTAAAATCCATTAAAAATTCTGTGAAAATCTTAAAAATACCGAATGTAGCCGGATATTAGGGTCTTTACGACGACGTGGATCTGCATACGCAACTTTTGTCATAAGCCTGCACAGACAATTTTCTGGCACAGGATGTAGTATCCATTACGAACATCAAATACAAAATTTGAAATAATTCCGGTAAAAATTGCATCTAAAATCAACTGAATATCGGGGTACCGTAATATGTGGGCTATACGAAGACGTGGACCTGAACGAACAATTTTCTATCACAGGCTGTAATATCCATTACGAACTTCAAATGCGAAAATTGAAACAATTCCGGTAAATAATGTCGCTAGAATCACCAAAATACCGAATATCAGGGGGTACCGTTATATGGGGGCTATACGAGGACCTGCACAGACAATTTTCTGTCATAGGCTGTAGTAAAGTAATTAAAAATGTCTCTTAACAGTTGTTCCAGAAATAAACCAACAGAACCATGTTGACAACTTTGAGCATGCGAAAACCACTTACAAACACCTAATATAAGAGCGTTCGCTCTGAAATTTGCTATCGCAAATTGGAAATGGCAGCGTACGACGCTTTTCATTGTTTCATTTCATTTTATTGTTTTAAATACAGCATTTAGATTAAAATATACGTAGTTTAAAAAAAGGTGGCACAATGTATAAAAAAGTGGCACAAAAATTCAAAAAAGTGGCTCATTTAGGATCAAAATAAAAAAGTGGCACAAAGGTATCAAAGCCCAAAAAAGGTGGCAAAATTGATACTTTAGTGGCACAACGGTCACGCTGGTTACAATATAGTACAAGATTGCAGCACGATATCCAAAGGGAGACCATGCAAGTAAAGTGCATACTCGCATATGTGGATAAATACATGCAGCAGAAATGTAGCAATTGCTCTGTGTTTTCTGTTACAAGACTTAATAGCTTATTTAGATATTATTCTTGCAAACATAAACAAAAGTTCAATGCCATTTTCCTGGATGGAAATTCAGACAGTGAGTGTTAAATCCCGTCGACACAGACTGCCATATTTAAGAGCGCAAAAGCAGTCTCCTAAAGAACAATATAAATCAATCAAGGTATAGATGTCGCTTTGCATAATATATTCGAGAATCTACAGAGGACATATGACCAAAAAACCTAGCTTAATTTTTCATCTTCACATTAATGATCCACATCTCATGCCATTGTATAAGATCCTAGTTTAAGCTGTTTCGATGAATTTGAAGCATTAGCCAGTCAAAATTTGGCTATTAAAGAACAATAAACATTTGACGTATAGATGTCGCTTACTGTAATAAAAATGTAAATAAAATCGGTAATGAAAGGTCAAAAATAGGGTCTGGCTATATGGTATCCTACACCACTATGTATATTTAGTAAGAAATATTGGGAATTTATTGGTTTGTTCCAGATCTGCAAGAATGTAAAAGTTTTTACTCCGATAATCGATTTTCCTTTTCCGCTATTGAAGAAAATTGTAAAACTAGTGGATTCTTGCAGGTACTGGAACAGAGCATATGTGAATACCAACTATGAACATTTTTTGAATGCGTATTTTGGCTTTAGAGCAATTATATTATTTGAAATCAGAGGAAAGTAATTAATGGGAAGTATATCCAAATCTGATTCGATTTTCACCAAATTTGACGAAGGCATTTTCACCCCTTGTACCAAATAGCATTATTATAGAATATATGGTAAGACTTTGGGAAAGATTATATCAGAACATATATATCAGAGCAATAGATATATGGGAACCGAGGTTCACGAAATGGTCTGATATTACATATGATGAACATATCGAATGGAAGCTATATTCAAATCTGAGCCGGTCTCGATAAAATTTGGCAGAGGTATTTCTGAGCTAGTACCAAATATCATTGTTGTAGAGCGCATATTACGAATGTGAGGGACTTAAACACCAAATCGGATGAAACATACATATGGGAGCTGTAGCTCTATCTGAACCGATTTTGATTCTAGGCTGGGATCGTAGGGTCATATGTGCCAAAATCTACTTCGTTTGGACTGATATTAACCATTTAGTTAACAAAAAACCTGAAATCGGATAAGGATATATATGGGAGCTATATACAAATCTGAACCGATCTTGATGGAATTTGGCAGAGGTCTTTCTAAGCTATATTGGGTGTCTTTTCCTGAATAATGTTGTTATAGAGTTCATATAATAATAATAAAATAATTTTGGTGCACAATAAAAGACAAATCGGATGAACATGTATATGGGAGCTATATTTTCAATTTAAATAAGGTTTGTCCTTGGGCCAAACAAGTGACCTGTGTAAAATTTTAAATAAATCGGATAATAATCGGACCTGCATTTTGTTCACAAAAATACATGGACATATGGACATGCTAACTCGACTTAGAATGTGATTCTATTCAGATCATCAAAAGGAGCTATGGGTCTACATCGCTTCCTTCTCCCGGTTACAAACAAATGCACGAAGACATAATACCCAGACCACAGCGTGGGGGAGAGTAAAAAACATGTTTTTAAACTAAAACAATAAAATTTGGGATTATTAAGCTCGTTTCGTACGAGAAATAAACAAGACAAGAAAAAACCAGCTAAGTTCGGCCGGGTCGAACTATTAATACCCTTCGCCTAATTGAAGGAACTTGAAAAATTTGCAAAAAATTCCGTCGAAAAATACCGCTCTAAGGATCTACATAGACAATTTTTCGTCGTAGGATGTATTACCCATTACAAGCTTCAAATACAAAATTAGAAACAATTCCGGTGAATAATGCTTTTAAATCATCAAAATACCGTGTTTCAGGAGGTATCGTTGCATAAGGACTATGCGAAAATGTGGACCTGCATACACAATTTTTTGTAATGCGCTGTAGTACCTATTACGAAATTTAAATACAAAATTGAAACAATTAGGGTTAACAAGTAAAAAAACAGCTAAGTTCGGCCGGTCCAAACTTTTTATACCCTCCACTATTCGGAAGGAACTTGAAAAATTAAAAACAAAAATCCGTCGAAAAATACCGCTCAAATGATAACCTTGATATAGGGGCTATACCAAGTCGGGGTGCTTTTGAAACAATTAGGGTTAACAAGTAAAAAAGCAGCTAAGTTCGGCCGGGTCGAACTTTTTATACCCTCCAGTACTCGGAAGGAACTTGAAAAATTAAACAAAAAATCCGTCGAAAAATACCGCTCAAATGATAACCTTGATATATGGGCTATACCAAGTCGGGGTGCTTTTGTCATAGGCCGTAGTAACGACTCCGAACTTCAAATACGAAATTTGAAACAATTCCGGTGAATAATCATCAAAATACCGAAAAAAGGGTGGTACCGTTGTATGGGGGCTATACAAAGACGTTGACCTGCATAGACAATTCTTTTTCTTTTGTGAGTGCTTTACTCACGAGGAACTCCTTGTGCAGAATTTCAGACGATTCCATTAAAAAATGTGGCTAAAATCATGAATATATCGGGATGTACCGTTATGTGGGGGATATACGATATCGTGGACTTAAATAGACAATTCTTTTTCGAACTTGACCTGCCTGCAGACCAAAGACAGATCAGTGTTTAAAATTATTATTTCGATGTTGTAACTCATGGTACGAAATAACGAACTTAATATACCCTCCATACTATGTATGGTGGAGGGTATAAAAATGTTGCTAATATCATCCAAATAGCGAATATCGGCGGGTACCGTTGTATGGTCGTTATTCGATGTCGTCGTCCTATATAGACAATTTTCTTCGACGGGGTAAATTACTCGGAAGGAACTCCTTGTGTGGATTTTCATACAATTTCATTGAAAATTTTGGCTACAATCATCAGAATACCGAATATCGGGGGGTGCCAGTATATGGGGACTATGTATGGTGGAGGCTATAAAAGTGTGAATTTATTAGTTGTCTTCACATTAACTGTGATCATATCATATAATATTTCAATATATCAGCTTGAGCCTTTTTATGTGGCTTGTTCGATGAATCTCTAAGAGCAGATTATTTGTCCTATCAATAGAAAACTTCCAAATCCAAAAAAAAACTAATCTACGAATATATGTATCTTCAATACCTTGACATTTCTTATTTTTATCATGGATTTCACATTCATTCTCCATTTTCTTACTTGGAGGCAATAGCTTGTCCTGATTATGTTCCACTGATTTTTGCAACGGCAAATCACTAAATGTCTTTTTCTGTGATTTAGTTGTTATGCCAGCCGTATGGATGACATCCGCTTTAAATTTTTTACGATGATCACTTCTTTTTGTGGCAATTTTTGCCTGACGCATGTCATGCGGCGTAGTTCGACTGCTTGTTGGAACAATATTTGCTCTTTCTTCGGTTCTACTGATGGGCTTGCCTTTGATGTGTTGTTTGTTATTATTATTGCTGTCCGTGATGTTGTTGCTGTTCAAAATGTTGGTGTCGGATGTTGGCATTTGTTCGCCCATCAAACGGAAATCTGGCATTTCAATTTTTAATTTTGCTACTGGATCTTTAGCTGTCGCTGTAATGGGATCTTTGCGATTCGCGTCTCCTTGAGACGATGGAGGTGATGTGGCTGGTGGTGTAACTGCTGCTACTGGTGGCGCAAGATTTCTGTCACGTGTGCCACTATTATTGATGGATGCTGTTATTGTGGTCGGTGGGTGGGGATCGGTAGTAGCAGTAGTTGTCTTTGCTGTTGCTGCTGTTGTCGTTTCCGATGCTTCATTAATATTTCCTGTTTGCTTTGTTATTTTTCTGCATTTTTAATTAAAATAGAAATAAAAGGTGTAAGGAGAGGGGGTTTTGTTTTTCGAAGTGTCATATCCAAAAAGGTAAGGGGAACAAGTTGTGATTGCAATCAAACTACATACGGAGGAAGGTACTCTCATACTTGGGTGATCAAATAAAAAAAGTCAAAAATACGGCAAGGCAATAACTATTGGGTGTTCGAGTGAGGGGATGCGAAACAAATTTACCAAAAAACAATTCAAAATTCTAACAAAACATAAGAAATCGTAATAACTAATATAAAAACAATTTAAATGCATCACCCATTTCTTAATACCGAATGAGATTCCCATGAAACCATATCCCTTTGATAAGGATTGGAAACGCAAGTTCTCGATTCAATATTGACAAACAGGCCATACAACTTCGTCAATCATCAACTTCGAAAGTGTGCTGCTGCTTGTCTAGGTTCGCATTTCGTTTTTTTTCTACAAGCTTAAGCAGGTTAAGCTTTTATGAACGTTACTCAATATTAAAATTGAAAGTATGTAATCGCTGAATGTCTTACCTTTCGCTGTTGATCGAAGATGTCATCGACATGGACATCAAACCGGTATCCTGTGTTTTGCGACCCAACTTTGGAGTTTTGGAAATATCTTCATTTTCATCACCAGCTGCACCCGAATATTTATCCCGATTTATGGAACGTTTGGTTCTGTTTTTGAAAAAATTAATAAAAAATGTATGAAAAATATGAAAACAATTTAAAATAAAATGTTATATAAAATGAATATATTTAAAAAAGAAAAATAAAAAAATGTCAAAAATTAAAAAAGAGTTTCCCAAATATGTTTTCAAAATATCTGCTAAAAAATATTGATTCACAAAAATGAACGGAACCAAGTTTTATTAATTAAATACCCAACACAAACATTAGTGTACCCAAAGAAATTGAGAATGTAACAAGTAAAATAGTATCAGTCGGTTTTTCCGACAGATGTATACCCCTAGCCTTGAGTTATGATTATTCAAACTGTTGGCCCTGACCCATGTAAGAACTAAGAAGGTAAAGTCATGCAATCATATGTTTACAATTTTTTCAAATTTATACATTTGACAACATTTCATTGTCAAAATTTATATTCATAAATCCATTGTATACACACAAAATCAGAGATGGGAACTGTTTTTTATGCATTGAAATTTGACAAGGTAAATTACAGAAAATGCAGAGCTGGGAATGCTAATTTGAAATGAGGTTACCTTTATTTCATTGTACCATGCCCTTACCTAAGACTGATTTAAATATTACAAAGTGGCAGATTTGGACTATTTAAAGGAAATCAAACATTTATATCCACACATTCATATCAGATTTTTTTCCACATATTCATATCAGATTTTTGGTTAAGAGAAATATTTAGATATAGCAAGTTCTAAAGAATCGCCGACTTGTTTCGCAAGTTATGAGAGATATAAGAAATACTTGGATGTGTGAAATTTGAAGAGAGCTGAATGCTTATTTCGCTTTCTTTGAACGTTTTGTTTTTCAACATTTTGAACCCTATGTGGGGGAGGTACAAGAAGGAATGGTCCGATCTCTACCATCTTTTTAACAGATCTTGTGTTGATGGAAATATTGAGATGTACCAAGTCTGTATGGAATCGGATGTCAATTTCGCAATTTATGAGCTTCAGGGATATTGTGCGGGAGGTACCAGAAGAAGTAGAAATATGTATCCCATCTTCACACCAGACCTTGGGTTAATAAATATATTGTGATGTGTGTAATTTGAAGAGAACTGGATGTTTATTTCGGATTTTACAATCGTTTTGGTTATTCAAAACTTTGGAACTGTCGAATCTCTGCCATCTTTATAACAGATCTTGTGTTGATGAAAATATTGAGATCTGCCACGACTAAATGGAATCGGATGTTAATTTCGCTTCAGATGTTATGAGTATCAAGAATATTCAAAATGTTGACCCTTTGTGAGCGAGGTACCATCTTCACACCAGACCTTGGATTAATAAAAATATTGTGATGTTTGTGAGAATAGTCCGATCACTACCATCTTTATAAAAGAGCTTGTGTTGATGGAATGTTGAGATATGCCAAGTCTGAATGGAATCGGATGTTAATTTCGTGTTTTATAAGCTTCATGAATATTCAAAATATTGACCCTTTGTGGGGGAAGCACTTGAAGAGTGAACTGATATTGTCCATTTTCGCACATGACCTAGCACTGATGCAAATATTAGGATTTGCAAAGTTGGAGAAAAAACGGATTATCCTTTCTCTTTCTGTGCAGTAAATTCATTTCTGTTGACTTTTAGTATAGGAGGTATCAAAAGGAGTGAACCGATATTGCCCATCTCTAAGTTTGACAATAATATTACGATCTACCAAGTTTAAATCAAATCGGATACACTTTTTGAGGGTTATCATGCGCACCAGCCAGACAGGCGGACGGGCATCGCTAGATCGACTCCAAATGTCCTGAAATGGATTTGGTCCAAAGAGACCTAGGCCCTTACACCGTTATTTCAGCCATATGGCTGAGGGTATAAAAGTCTTATAAAAGATCAACTTGTTCATATCATCGACAGGTTTTGTATTTGAAAAATAACTATGAACTAAAAGTGGGAATGAACGAGCTACTGGCAAATCCTGCTATAGTTAAAGTCTAACAAATCAAAAAGCTGTTAGTTCGACAAGGCCGAACTGCGACTACCCTCATAAAAATAGAATATAGAACAATATTTTGGAGCCTATACGAAGCCGTGGACCTGTATGGGACACTTTGGGAACTTCAAATACGAAATTTGAAAGGATTCCGGTGAATAAAGTCGCTAAAATTATGAAAATACAGAATTTACCGAGATACCGTTATCTGGTACCTATAGGCAATTTTCGGTCACAGGATGTAGCACCCATTAAGAACTTCAAATTTAAAATATGAACCATTCCCGTTGAAAAGTGTAACACAAATCATCACCTATATATCCCATTATCATTTCGTTCGGAAGCTAGAGTGATTGACATAGACGGACGTACATCGCTAAATCGACATAGAATTTTACGCTAATCAAGAATATATTGATATTATTTACATTAACTTTGTCGATAAGAGACACATTTTAAAAAGAAAGTTAATGTCTCTATGCAGTTCCCTTAGTTGAACGAACTCTGTAGTGTTTTTTGTACATCATAAATCCTTTTTTTTTTTGAGGGATTATGAACAATAATTTGCGAATATCCACAACATTTGAATGGACGATGGCGAATTGAGGGGATCTAAGGAGTCAGCAAATATTAATATTTTGAAAGACCATTATTGTTTTCCAACTTCACGTTTTACTAGGTAAAGTATCGACACTAGCTCGATGGTAATATTGGTAATGACTACCATCGACATCTTAAGACTTTTACACCAACATGTTATACCTGTGTTCATACGTGGCGTATCGAAATTTACACCATTCTAATGTTCGAACGTTAAAAATCTTAAGGGCCTGTTTACACATCAAGGTTAGAGCCATATGTGAAATGTCACATTTTAAATTTAACGGTTTTTTATGAGCTTCCAACAATTGTCAAACTTAAGAACGCTATACACTATAAAATAAACTTATGCTCTAAATATTTTATAGTGATTTATGGGAAAATTATGAGGCGCCAAAAAATATGCTATAAAATACTAAAGGAAAAAGTCACGATACATATGACTCCTTCATGGTATATAAACTAGCCTTAAATCGTAATTGTGACCAGGGGAAATAGGGATAACAGCGGTATAGATATTCCTCTTTAACTACAAAACTACATTATCGTTGGGCGACGGAAGATGTCGACCTAAGGTTCCCTTTGAACAACATCAAATTGATTTCGAGCGATCAATAAATAGGATTGCATTTCGCAATTATCCATTTGACTCAGTTTTCTAATATTACCCATAAAGAATTTTTATGAATTTACTCACTTCAAACATGGCGCTTTATATTTTGTTCTTGCCTCCAGGCGAGCCTTGGCAGCATTTTCTTCCGTTTTGCTCGAGGCCTGTTTCTTTATGGAATCCTGGAGAGCTTTTTCTTTGCACCATTCCACGTGTCGATCGTAGGCCTTCAAACCAAAGCAGCGATCACAATGTGGACACTGCTCTGAAGGAACCGAGCTCTGAATGGGACCACGTCGGGTCAGTGAACGTTCTGATGAACGTAAACGATCACGGCTGAAATTGCTCGATGTTGTCATGCCATCGTTGGCCGAGGAGGTGGAGAGTTTACGCATCGAGGCACGGGCTGTGGAGCGTACAAACTCCTCTGTGGGTTTCTTGCGCTGCATTATGGGAGAGGAGACCTGTAAAGGGAGGTAATTTAAGTTCTCATGTCATAGTCAAAGTTCTTACTTTATCCTTACCTGCTGCAATGGATTTGGTGACTGACCCCTTTCACTTTTCGTCCTTGTCAGTGTGGTGCTGGAACCCTTCTCGGGCAATCCGAAATTCTTTGGCAATGGATATGTGGCCAATTCGGTTCCTTCTCTCCGTTGCCGCGATGAATCGAAAATGTTACGCCTTTTGGTGGCCATTTTTTCACAAATGCCCACATGTTTGCGTAACGTGACCGGATTAAATGTTCGCGAACAAATCGGGCATGGTGCCAGCTGTAAGCTGAACGATGGGTCGGGCGTCTCCGTAGGCGTTGTGGTATTGTAACTGTTAACTGAAATCGGAAGGAAAAATGTATTCAAAATAAATGTAAGTTTTAGTTGGGAATGTGTTGTATTTGTGTAATTGTTATTTGAAAATATTGGTTATTTGACAGAAATAGTTGGATTTTTTTTAAATTTGTAGTAGATTGGGTGGAAATTTATGTTAGAGTAGACCATGGTAGAATTACAAGGTAGCCCTATCAGGTCAGCTGTTGGCAACTTGATATGTCAATCAAATTGTTGTAATATGAATTCGCCCTACAGATACATAAAGTGAGAAAGAAACCTGAACAATTATTAAAATTGAAAATGTGGGAAAAAGTTAAAAAACAAACCAAATATGAGGTATTGTATGGTTTGTAAGCGAGTACAAGCAAAGACCAATACCTTTGTAGAACAAGGAAAGATCAATACCTTCCTTAACTTACACATCTAGTACATACATATTTCTATTTATCCATCAAAGGGTAAATGAATCACCCAGACAATAGTCTATGTTCTTTCATATTAAAATTCATCAGATCTTATTTGAACAATAGATCTGGTACCTATCCTACAAAATATTTTATAATCACTATTCTCTTAAAATTTGATATTATTCCCCGTTCTCTTCAAAGTATTAATACTAGATTTAGTGAAAATTTGAAATTATTTAATCTTTATGACACGCCCTTGAAATAAAGTAAATATAAATAAGTGGCCAAATTCTGAGGATATATTTCTGTCGATGCTCCGACTGAACTTTTTTTCTTAAAACTTGGACTTTTATTGATGGACGATTCCTTTGGGACTTCAAGATAAACAATCGGTCTCATTTCAAAAATAATAATTTTTAGGTCTGAAATAAATCAACAAATCCACTATTTGAGATCCGCAAATATGCTCTCGAGATATAGCCACGACTGAGACCCGGAATGTTCTTCAAATATCCACGATTTAAGAGCCGGTAATTTTCTTTAATATTTGAGGATTTGATGTGTTGAAGGAATCTATCCTTTTTTAGAAATCCACGGTTTGGATCTGCAGCCTTTTTAAATTATCCTGGTTGTTTCTTGGTTTCTTGTCTTCGACTTTTTGTTTGCTTTTCACACAATTTCCTTGCAAAATATATATTTTTTAAATGTAAATAAAAACACAACAAAATAATTCAATGCTTCGAAATTTTATATCTCAAATTTTATATGTCAAGTCAATTCGCCTTGCTTACAATTTCGACATATCAAGTTACGACAAAAGTTACTTTGTTGTAATTTTCGCCGATGTTGCTACCTGGTATTTCTACCATGGAGTAGACTTTAAAATTTTTGAGAATCTGGATAAATTGAATAGACAATAAGGTCTTCTATAAGCTACAGAGAGCCTCTTCTGTCAAATGAAGATATATTCCATGCATAGAAGACAATTTCAATCTATAAGAGACCTGTTAGCTAATTTTCTAGAAGCAAATTAAATATGTCTCTCAGAAAATGAGATAAGTTTCTCTCAGCAAATAATCCACGAATAAAGCTGTCTTCTTCTCTCACCAACTTTTCTACACGAAAAGTTGCCTCTCGAAAAGTTTCTACACGAAAAGTTGCATCTCACCAACTTTTCTACACGAAAAGTTGCCTCTCACCAACTTTTCTACACGAAAAGTTGCCTCTCACCAACTTTTCTGCACGAAAAGTTGTCTCTCACCAACTTTTCTATGGTAAATATGACATCTCACCATATTTTTTATAAGAACAGTTTGCCCTCAGAAAAATTGCTCTATTAGCACAGTTTTCCAAAATTTGTAGGAGGTCCCCCACCTACTCAAACCTTGAAATGATTTTTCGAACATTTTGTCTGGGATTTGCTACACTGTGTTTGGTACAAAGTTATTAAAAATTAATAATTATAATAAACATGAATATTAAAAAAAATAATTAACTGATAAAAGACGACCCATCACACACAATAGACTATCTGTCCTCAAAGTTTAAATAAACGAATTGTTTATATTTAAACAATCACAAAAAAACCTTAACAAATAATAAAATTAAAATGGGTGATGACAAGCAACGAAGTACAAAACGTTTCGCAAGTGAGACTTTAAATACATATTTCTTATCATTTTTAACAAAATAATAAAAAAAAGTGATGAACAAATTTTCAAACAAATAAACCAACATCATCATCTTCGTCGCTGTTGTCGTTAAGGTCGCTCTCAGTCCTTCAAACCCAACCGAAATGAATGTGAAAGTCAACATTTGGGTCTTGGACTAAACATTTTATCGCAGACAATTTGTAACAAAATTATAATTATTTTTTTTTTTTATAATTTTCCTTGACTACTTTTCGTGGATTCGCATTGTAATTTGGTGTTTAGTTTTTTTTTTTTTTTTTTTTCAAAACCCCCATCATTCATGAAAAGTAAACTGTCTTACAACCAAATGTATATCAACATCCCCACGGAAGACCTGGGGGAGAGGGGGTTGGCAAATAAAAAAAGTGAATGTAAATTGCAATTGCAAAAGTAAAGCGAAATATTAAAAAGATAACCATTTTGTTTAAGATTATGCAAATTTCATTCATTATTTCTCTATTATTTGTTGTTATTGTATTTCTAACTTTAATTATTTGCGATTGCGCTCAAATAATAACAAAGTGTTGCACAGCAACTTGGTTTTTTTATATGAATACTTTTTTTTTTTGAAAAATGAAATATAATTAGCCTTAATTTTAGTGCAGGCATTAAAGAGAAACAATAGCTTCGATGTGGGAAAATTCGAAGGAAATTGGCAGATTCAACTCTATAATTTCAACCATTAAGAGATGATACAGGTATGTTTTTGGGATAGACCAACGAATATTCCCTTTAAATCCAATTCAAAGAGAATTCAAAGAATCGAAACCTAAGATTACCACCCACACCTGACAGCTAGAAAGCCAGAACCAATACTCCGCTAACTACTTCCCCCCGGAATAATTTGTTCATGTACACCTTCACCAATTCTTTTTTAATAAATTGAAATCATCAACTTAAGAGATTTAAATAAAGATTTTTTTAAACATAAAAGAGTTTTTTCCGCCATTCTGTCTGTCACATAAACGTCGAATAGATTTAATAACCAACTGACCGAACATTGGAGACAACAGCAAACATGTTGAACATAAAGTCCCAAATGGAAAAAGGTGTTAGCATGAATAAGTTGTCACGTTGGTGGACTCACTGTTGGGACGGCCAGTTGTTAGGTCGTCGTCGGTTGAAACATTTACCCATCGACACGATATTAAGTGTGGGTGTTAATCGAAAGCGCAAAACGAAAAAGAATGCGAAGCAGAAATTATCAACAAGCTTCCAATATGCCACACCGAATTACAGTGGAACAACCCGCTACGTAGCCACTTTTTTAGAAGCTACATTACACAGGAGAAACTTTGTTGAATGGTTACAATTTTGCAAGAAAGCCACTGAGAACTTCTCTCGTACAGAATGGTTTTAAACAGCTGAGAAGTCATGCAGATAATATTGTTTTCTTTTTCTATAGAAAAATATATAATTTTCAGATCTCTAGTTATTCGATCTTTATTTTGAATAATTTCAAATTAAAGTTTTATAAAATTGTCTAAGGATCAAATTGCTTCCCAGCAGGTTGAGAGGCAAAAGAGAAAAATGTTTTCTCAGCATTTTTTATGACAATGGTGTATCCTCAGCTCCGGCAACTTTTAATGGAAGAAGTTATATCTTATTAAAATTATTTAAAAATTTACTTTTATTTCTGAGAAACGTAGCTTCCAATATGCTAATCGAATCGCAGCTTCCAATATGCTAATCGAACTCCTTTGAAAAACACTTGGAAATGTATACGTACAGGATGAGATGAAAAAACTGCAACCAAATTCAGACTGCTATCATTTCCAAGTTACACGTCCGACAGCTGTTAAAATTATTCCAGTAACAGCTCATTGTATTGTTTACAAGCGTACAAAAGCATTTTGGTGTGAATTTTCCAGAAAAAAGTTTTTCGCGATGGAATTCAAGCGTAATAGTTTGATTTCTTTATATTTTTTGGCTGGGAAACCACATGTGGCTATCCTTAGAGCACTCCAGCATTTAAATGTGAATAAATCTTTTGTGTCTCGTTCCATCGCTCGTTACCGTGATATTGGTAGCGTAGCCCGACGTTAAGGAAGTGGACGGAAGAAAACAGCAACATCAGCAGAAATGGTTCGAAAGTAAAGAAGCGACTTGATGAAAACCCGCGTCGCAGTGGCAGAAAAATGGCTCGTGAGCTGAACATATCGCAATATTCCATTCGGCAAATATTGAAAAATGTGCTCGGGGTAAAGCCATTGAAATTCCAAAAAGTGAAAGAACTTACACCGCACTAGAAAAAAATATATTCAAAAAAGCTAAAGAGTTGCTTCGCTTGGCCGAAAGTGGTGAACTGCCGAATTTGCTTTTCTCCGATGAGAAAACATTCGTTGTCCAGCAGTTTGTAAACAAACAAAATTATCGTGTTTACTTGCCAAAGAGGTCAGCTGAAAATGTGCACCTTCGGTTGGTCACCAGAACTCAAGCGCCGGCCATGGTGATGGTGTGGGCCGCCTTAATAGCTGATGGTCGCTTTCGCTCTCCGCTCGTATTAATCGACCGTGGTATCAGAATAAATGTGGTATGTTATCGCGAAAATATTCTGGAGGGTATAATAAAACCTTCGGTAAGCAAACATTTTGGCCGCAGACCTTGGACATTCCAAAAGGACTCAGCACGCGCCACCCTAGAATGGTTACAAAATGGGTCCAAAATACCGCAGAGCAACATTCGGGCAGCGTGTGACGGTTTCATTGGCCGTTTGAACAAATCTAAACTTATTCTAAAATTTGATGCTAAGATTTAAAAAAAATGTAAAAATTATGGCGTTTGACTTTGTTGAAGTTTTTTCATCTCACCCTGTAGTTCCTTAGCTACATGTGTATATTATAAATAGGTTCTCAACATCTGACAAAACCTTGAATGCAGAAAAGTAAGGTCTCTGCAATGTGT